TCTGCAAACACAGCACCCGCATTTTTGAAGGTGTGTGCTTTTCAATGGGTAATTTGCTCCTTTATTGTCTGCAGAATAACAGCAGTGACAGCATTGACTTTCTCTAATGAACAGCTGCTCAGTGCTAGGATCTATTCCCGGAGGAGGCTTGCAGAGATGAATAAGGTTTCATGCTCCTCCTCCAGAGAGGGTGAGAAAGTTCGCAGAACAGAAGATTGTTGCTGATTGTCAGAGATCTCCAAACCTTGACCTGCTGGCAGCTGAGAGCTGAATGTGTCGCCATGCAAGTCATGTTTAACCTTCCAGCACTTTTGCCATGGCAGGGTGCTCATGGAATCGGGGAATAGGTGTTAGTTCCCATCCAAGAAGTCATCCTCTTGTCTCTGCAAACGACCATCACAAATTGGCTGAACAAAAAGCATTTTCCTCCTGTTGCACTGCCTGAATTCTTTGCTGATACTCTGCACTAACAAGAGCGGGGAGGCGGGAGAGGATCGTTCTTGAATTATGGATGCATTAGAGGCAGAGCCAAGTTATGAACTCTTGGAGATGGAAGTCTCTGATGGATATTATAACTCAAGCCATAAGCTCAAATAAACATTTTGAGCTTTATCCCAATCAGCTCCCCTTGGTGCCTCCCTTGACATCCCTGCTCAGAGTTCACCTTCACTGTGAAATGACACAATTGGATTTGCAGAGATTGGGCAGCCTCAGGAGTGTGCTGAGGTGTGTCTGGCCACTCACTCACAGGTTCCCTGTGCTCCCCTCCCCACCTCCTTTTCGATTTATAACACACATCATCATAAATGCTTTGTTATATTTCCTCTGTGCCTGCCCTGAACCCAGCTCCAGGCACTGGGGGATGCCTGTGAGAGCAGTGGTACAACAAAGTGGAGCACCCAGCTTTGGCCTGACTCCCCTGTCTCGTGACAGGAAAGTAACAAAACACATAAACTGAGAAGTCCTCCGTAGTGAGTAATTTGGAAACAGTAAACTGCAGGCAATATTTTGAAATATTTCTGCAGCTGATCAGTAAGTCTGGGCTCTTGGTCTGTGGTAGCACCTTTGTTGTCTCCCTCTGCAGGGGTTAACAAACTGTGCAGGAGGAGCGCTGCATTCTCAAACTCTTTCAGTGCCCTGAGAATTTCCCTCACTTCTGTGCACTACTCCCAGTGATCCCAGAGCCATTCCTGGCACCCCATATGTGAAAAAAGGGTAAAATGGATCCATCTGATTCAGTAGGGCAGAAAGTCCACAAAGGCTTCAGTGATGGAGAGTTTTGATGTGAATCCATGGGTTGTGCCTTGGGCTGCGCAAAGCTTTTGCCTGGAGCAGCTCTGCTGCTTGGAGAGACAAAACAAAGCTGGCAGAGGGGGAGAAATCTCAAAGCCCAAGTTTTAAATAGCAGCTCCGTGAAAGCTTTTAATGCCCCAGAGCAGCCAGCACGGCGCAGGTGCATTCAGTGACCTGTTTTGTTCAGGCAGTGAAAGATGTCTTGGAAACTGCAGCTCTTTTTTTCCTTTGGTTCTGGCAATTCCCTCTTGACCTGAAATTGTCTTAATGGCAGTGGAGACAAAAAGCCTCATGTTGGTTTTACTCTTCTATGTGTGTTGGAATCCCCTGTGTGGAAGTTTCCCTGGTTAGCTGAGTACTTTCCTTGGGAGCTCCTCAGTGAAACACAGTTTGTAGTGGTGAACTTGCGGTCCATTGTGTCCAACCAGCCTGGAGAGGTGGCAAGGGGAAAATGTGCTCCAAAGGGGCTCAGTTTGAAGAGAAACTTGACTTGTGGACTTGCTCTGAGACACCCACAATGGAACACAAAGCTGGAGAGAAATGTGTTCGTGCAAGAAGTGTAAGGGGCATTCATCCATGCACACACCCAGGAATGCACTGAGAAAGCAAGCAGAACTGTTTATGTTTGTAATATAATTTCAGTAGTAATCAGATATGGGGCCTGGACTAATATATTTTCCTAATAGTTTTTCAAGGCTGAAACTAAGGTAAAACCTCTCTCTTATTGACTGACAGCACTACCAGGCAGCTGTCAGGGACCAAGTGATGCAGGACAAGTGCCTTCAGGTGAAGCTTCTATAACCTGTAAAGTGCTTTCCCAGTCAACACCTGGGGCCATGCACCTGATGGAACAGATGAATGTTTAAGTCAGGTTTGAGCAGTTTTCTCTCTTTCCCTGCTCTAAGCTTGGTAGAGAAAGCTTCTTGGAAATCTGGCAGGGAATATATTACCATCTGGATGGTGTTGTTTTTTTTTTACTCTAGATTTATTTTTTCCCCCAGCAGTGCAGAAAAAGACAGCTTTTTGCACACAGACGTGCCTCAGCCATGTCCTGCCCAGCAGATATGTGGCAGCCAGTGGTGTTGGGTACAGAATCTCACTCCCAGGGTAGGATGGATCCTACCATGGATATTCCTGCTCCCAGGATATGTGGTGTCAGCTGCAGCCCTGCTCCTTTTCATCAGAAGCTGCTGTGGCCCTGCAGGCAGTGATTGATGTCCAGAGTGGGCGTATTGGGCTTGCTGAGCCCTGTGCAGGGTGAGATGAGCCTGAGCCGGGGCTGTGTGGAGGTGTGCGACCACATCCAGCCCTGCTAAGCACAAAACAGCTCCTCACCTGGCTCCTTTGCACCACTTTCCCCAGCTCACTCATCACAACTTACTGGGTTCTCCAGTGTCTTTCCAGCACCGCGGCGTTCCCTGCAATGGCTGCTGTAAAACACTTTGCCTTTGTTTCTGGTGTTCTTTGATGTGTTTCCTTCCAAATCCTGGCTGGAAAGCTCCTTGTCCTTGTTCTTTCTCCAACGTTGTCTCATCCCTCTGTGCCATATGGGGTAGAGACCTCACATTAACAATGTGCAGAGCATCCTCACCCATCAAGCTGGGCCTCACTGAAGTCCCTGTGCTCAGTTCTTGTGCAGGACTAATGATTACTTGTGGATTTTAGTGCTTTGTTGAACTGGAGCTGGAGTTAAAAGAAAGCTGCTGGTGCAGAGAGCCTTGAGTTTCTCTGATCCTTGAGCTTACGTGCCTGAGGTGGAAGCTCTCATGCCAGTTTTTGCATTAAGCCCATTTTCTGTCTTAGTAGTTCAGAGTGACCAGGATTTTGATCTGATTGTCAGTGAGTTCTCAGAATCCACATCTGCTGAGTTTTATTCCTATCCCTGTGCTCCCCCAAGTGAGGCTGAAGGTGTCCGTGGATGTGGACGATGGGAGCAGCAATGGACATAATGGAGCAAAACCCTGTCCAGTCCAGAAGGAGACTGGGTTTGCCTGTCCACACCAACCCCTCTGAGGAGGGTACTCATTCCACTGGAAGGAGGACAGCTGGCTTGGCTCTTCCCTGCCCCAGGGCAGCTCCTCTTGCTGGTGTTTGCCCAGGGCTGGGATTGCAAGGTCAGCGTGGTCTGGCCACTGCCCCCAGGTCAGGCACTGTGGGCGCTCCTCGGTCTCTGCTTCCATCTGCTGGACAAGCACTGGCTCCTGCTCACTCCCGGTTTCCCTTGGTGCCTCAGGGATTCTGCTGGCTCCTTTTGACTGTGCTCACATAGTTCTAGAGATGGAAATCCCTTTCACGCACGTATGGACTGCGAGAACATTTCAGTGTGGAACCAATGCTTTGGCAAGGCTGCCCTGCTGAGACTGACTGGCACCGAGCCTGGAGCTGGGCTGAGCACAGCACATTCAGTGCAGCTCTGTGTGGCCTCCTGCCATGCAGGCAGCTCTGCCTGTGAGGCTGAAGCCCCTCTAGTTTATATCCCCAGGGAATTCAGATATTAGTGAATTGTTTGGATGCCACATGAATAGCCAGTGAGGGTCTCCAGAAGTGACCAGAGCAGGTGCTAGAGGACAGCATGTAAAGAAACTGGGCAGGGAGGACATGGTGCTTTCCTTGGACATCTCCTTCAGCATTTGACAATCAGAGTCTCAGTAGTATCAGAGTATCCCAGTCAGGACCATATTTAACAGTACTGGTAAGTGTGTCCTTTTTGAACTCTGCAGCATCTTGATACACTGGGTTCAGAAAGGTCCTGCTTTTATTTGTTTGAGACCTGCTGCCAATAACTTTCATTGCACACCTAATTGTTACTGACACTACGTGACTCCTCTACAGTTATTTCTGCCTTCATGAGGACGACAACAGAAGTGTCCCCCAGAGTTAGAGGTATTTGAGAGAGGTGGAGGAACTGGTGAGGGTCATGAGCACTCTGGTCTGCTCAAGAGTGCTCCGGTTGTTTTCATCTGACAACAGAAATTTGGCCGCTGCAAAGGCATTTCCTTAACCTTCCCTTAACCTCTGCTCAGCAGTGGGCAGACACAGGCAGAAGGTTCATTTCAAGCAGAATATCCCCATCCCATTGTCAAGGCATTGTGCAATGCAGCCTGGAGACCTTCCTGTAAACCTTGCTTGATTTAAGTGTTGGCTCTTGGTCTGTGCACGTACAAGCTACACAGCACTGTCTCCTCCAGATGTGGGATGACTGATCAGTCTTTGTGCTGTCAGGTGAAGGCCAGGACACAGCCATGAACTCTCTGTGTTGCAGTTTACAGTCCAGCATCTGGCTATTAGAATTTATTTAGCCAAGTGACTGGATTCTTTCTGAGCTGCTCCAGTTCTTTGGCGGAGGGTGAGTGTTGGTGTCACTCTTTTTGAGGACAGCGGTATCTTGTTTCATCTAATGAACAAACATCCATGTAGCAACAATTCATGAAGGTGTTGGCTTGAAATTCTACTTGCTTTCCATGTGAAAATCCTGTTATTAGGACCCACATGATTTGAGTAAATTTTGCTGGGCAGATTGTTTGTTTCTTTAGTAAAAATTCTGTAGTCATATAAAAGCAAGAACTGTTTTTCTCCCCAAGCTGGGCCCAAGCCATTTCCACACATGACTGCCTAGGGAAGTGCAGCTAGGGAGCCTGGACTCTACTCTTTTTTCCTGGGAACTTTGCATCTTGGAAGGACAAACTTTTTTTAATTTTTGACATTAGGTTCCCAGCCAGCAGGAGGAGATGTCACCATCGTCGCTGCTCCGGAGAACACCACGGTGGTGGCCGGGGAGAGCGTGGTGATGGAGTGTATGGCAGCTGCTGATCCCACCCCCTTTGTCTCCTGGATACGACAAGGTGAGTGTGAGGGACAGGACTAAATTTCTGTTGTCCATAGGAACCTGTGGATAGTACATTCTAAAAATCTGTTAAGAGTGGAAAAATCTGGGACAGGAAGGGTGCTTGTAACATTGATACCTAAAGACACAGGTGGTGTGGCAGTGTGGGGTGTCCTTGCTAAAGTGGAACTATTAATTAAATCTTGAAGGTTACAAAGCACACAATTCAATTTATAGTTGTTTGACCTGTGCCTGGATGCCTTTTGATCCAAATTGTCTTTCTCATGTGAACTGGAGCAGTAAAGGTCATGAGATGGGGTCAGGTGCCGCTCCTCCCTGGGCTCCAAGGTTGCTGGGGATTCTGTGGAATCTGCCATTGCACTGGAGAAATAGCTTGTATTATCTTGCAGCATTATAGAACTTGATAAGATCTGTTAATCCTTGGAGCGACTGGGACTGTTACTGGGAGGTTTTTGTTGAATGGAGGGATTGAGGAGCTGCTTAGGTCTCGTCAGAGGTATATGAATGAGCTGGGCTGGCAGATGTTACCCAGGGCTGATAGCCAAAGTCATGAGTTGGATGCCAGTGTCACTTCACTGAGAGTCACATCCATCAGATGTGTTTCAGCAGCTCTGACTGAAGACATTCTCAGCTCAGAGGTTGATTCTCCCCTAGAAAAGGCTCTCAGTCATTTTCATAAATCCAGGTCATGATTTAAGACTCCTCTCCCCTGTAACCATTTATTGTGGTTGGTTTTCAGCCTAGATTTGTCCACAGGCGGTGATTTTAGCATATAAAAATATTTCCTCTTCCCCTTAAAAAAGGAGCAAAAAAACCTCAGAGGATACCACTTTGGAAATCAAGTGAGCAAGGCTTAAATGTTATGGCAGAAATGTTTCTAGTTTATCCCATGCACTTTACAATTACAAATGCTCAGCATTCCCATGCTAGATCACTTACTGCTTTACTGAGAGCTGCTGATGCCCATGGTAAAGTAGATAATATTAGAGTTAATTATCATTAGGAGAGTTTTTCATGAGGAAGGAAGACAAGGGTGGAGGGGGAAGGATTGGTAAACCAGTTCTTTCCATGCTTTATTTTCAAGTGTTTGCTTGGTCCCAATCTCCTTCCTTGTGTGGACTCTTCAATTTAAAAGAGTGGAGTAACAGTGCAAGTCATTCTGAGTTACACAAGTTTATTTCCAAGCCTTCATTTAGGAGCAGAGTGGGTTACTGGACCATCAGTCATGTGGGGAATACCAAGGATGTACCTCCAGGTTGCCAGTTTGGCTCTTGCCAGCCTTGGTGGTGTCAGCTAAGTGCTACCATCTGGAGTGAGTTTTCCAACCAACCGCTCCAGTGCAAAGGGGGTGTGCAGATTGTGTGCTCTGAGTGTGCAGCCACTGAACTGTGAGGCCATCTGAAGACTCCCCCAAAGTGCAGGGAGGGGGCAGAGGATCTGCTCTCAGCCACATTCCCTGCTGATAGTGCTAAGTCAGTGCAGCTGTTCACAGTGGAGATGGGGAGTTTGTTCTGTGTGAGCTCCAGGCTCAGCTGAGGAGAGGTAAAGGCAGGCAGTGCTGAAGAGATGCTACTGCAAGTGGAGAGAGATAAGGTCTGGTGGTGCACAGATACTGCACAAACTGGCTCCCAGTCTGCAGACCTGTGCCAGACCTCCCATCCCAGCCTTTCCTCAGCTTGTCCCCAGCTCTTGGCTTTGTCTCCCATATGCTCTCAGAGGTACCAATGCCATATCCCTGGGTTTCTCACCTCAGAGTGCTGCTGCGAATATGCAGTGCCCAGCACCAGCCTCTGCCTTGTCTGTGGTGCCAAGGAGCCCAGGGCTACTTGAAGTTGTAGAAGGACATCTTGGCTTCTGGCCAGTGATAGGGAGCTGCCCTTTCCTCCTTCCCTACTCAGCAGTGCTGAGCACCCAGCCTGGAGAATGGGGAGAAGGCAGCTCATGGCCCATGTCTCTGACATAAACACCAGAGTCCCAGGGAGCACCAGGTGTCTTTCTCACCTCATAGCCAAGCTGTGAACAAGGAGTTGATCAAGAAGCTCAGTAAATTTGGGTTCACATCCAGGACACAGAAGAGGAGCCCCTGAATTGTCAGTGATTCAACAGTCTTGCTGGCATTGCATGAGTGTCTGTGCTCATGATAGGGGTCAGCAGGCAGATCCAGCAGCTTTTCCAAACCGTGTGTTATCACAGCTTTCCCATGAATGTGCTATTCCTAGGGCTCTCATTGCAGGCACACCCTAGGCATCAGAGACTTTTGATCCAAACCAGAACTTTTTGGATTATTACAGGTTAAACTAAACCTTGAGCCAGTGTTGGCTTGAGCTGGCTGTCAAGCACTGAGGAGTGTCCCAGCAGGAATCTTCCTCTGTGCTGGGGTTTGGGATTTGGGGGTCTCTCCACTCCCCAGCTGCGATCCTGGCATTACTTACAAGCCCTCATAAAGGGCAGTCTGGGCTCCCTCCCACATTTGTGCATGTTTCTTCCTGCAGATGGAAAGTCCATTTCCACAGATGTGATTGTGCTGGGCCGGACAAATCTCCTCATTCCTTCCAGCCAGCCCCATCACTCTGGGGTGTACGTCTGCCGAGCCAACAAACCCCAAACCCGGCAGTTCGTTACTGCTGCAGCTGAGCTCCGCATCCTCGGTGAGTAGAGAGCAGGCAAATTCTCAGGTACAAATGCTGACCAGCTTGCTATGGGTTGCATGGATAAGCATGCAGGAGATCCCCGAGGGTTTGTGGCCTTTGTGGCCATGCTGGGTAAAGTGGGAGCCAGGTTAGAGCCAGGAGGCCCGAGCTGGGATAGCTCTCAGTGGGAGTGTCACCTCTTTAATTTGGGGTTTAGTTCCTGGTATTTACTGAACCGTTTTATGCCTTATTCTTGTTCTCCAGGGTTCCCCCTTGGAAATCTCTATCAGCAATTAACTTTCAGTATCCTGGAAGCCAGCAGGGAGAACAGCCTAGGATCAGGGAATGCAGCACATGATTGATACAGAATTTATTTTTCCTTTTGGACAGAATCTAAATTAAGCCTCTAGAGTCTGCCTGGCAAATCCCATCTTGTAAGCAAAGCTGCTACTGAATAAAACATAGCACCGAGTGGGGAGGAGAAGGGATTTGCTTTGCTATTTTTTCCTCCTCCCCCCTGCATTAATTTTTCCTCTTTCCTCCCAGCTACTCCCAGCATCTCCCAGGCTCCTGAAACCATCTCCCGCACCCGAGCCAGCACAGCCAGGTTTGTGTGCAAGGCAGAGGGAGAGCCAGCCCCCACCATCCACTGGCTGAAGAACGGGGAGCCCATCCTCTCCAACGGGCGCGTGAAGGTGCAGAGCAGCGGCAGCCTCGTCATCAACCAGATCGGCCTGGAGGATGCTGGCTACTACCAGTGTGTGGCTGAGAACAGCCTGGGCATGGCCTGTGCCACGGCCAAGCTCTCGGTGATCGTGCGGGAGGGTTTGCCCAGCGCTCCCAAGAAGGTCTCGGCCGTGTCCCTCTCCAGCAGCACCGTCCTCGTGTCCTGGGAGCGGCCGGAGCACAACAGCGAGCAGATCATCGGCTTCTCCTTGCACTACCAGCGGGCTGTGGGTAGGTGTCACCTCCCTGGGCAGCACAGCTGTGTCAAAGGTACAAGGCACAAGTTGACCTTCTTCCCCAGCTAGTGACAAGTGTGAGGCAATTCCCTTTTCATTTCAGGTAAGGGAATTTTCTCCTGGAGTCGGTATCAACCAGTGACAGTGTCCGTGGATTAGCCAACATATTCTAACTTCTTGTTTGGCAGTAGTGTGTCCATATAGCTGAGTTGTCTGGATTCTATGGGACCAGGCACTGCTGATTTTATACATACTGATTTTGTATGCAAAGAGTGTGATTGCTAACAGTGATATCAACCAGCTGCGTTGTGTACAGGGGGAATCACTAAATTATCCACACCCAGAATCTGAAGTGAGGCATTGGCTCTCTTGGGGTATGTCTTCCCAAAGAGCCAGCAAGTCAGTGCTCCTGCTGAACTGTTGCCAGAGCTCCTCTGAAAATTATACTGATAACTGCAGCTGCTTCAGCATGGATTAAGGAGTTTGAGTCAAAATGGAGACATCAACATTGAGGCATTGGAGTTTCTGCCCAAAAAACTCAGAAGAGATGCGGCTGTGCAGGTGCTGGGGAAACTGGACAAGATATAGTGATTTTTAAAGTGGATTTAATCTGCAGACCTTGTGAATTGAGTGATTTTTTCAGGAGTGTCTTGGCAGTTCACTGACCTGCTGATCAGTGTTTCCTTGGCTCTAGGAACAGATAATGTGGAATACCAGTTTGCTGTCAATAACGACACAACTGAGCTGCAAGTCAAGGATCTGGAGCCAAACACCAACTATGTCTTCTATGTGGTTGCATATTCCCAGCTCGGAGCTAGCCGGACGTCCTCTTCCATCGTTGTCCAGACCCTGGAGGATGGTGCGTTGAATTAGATGGGTACTGGTGCCTAGGAGATGTTCTTGACCTGGTTGATGGTGAGCACTGAATGTGCTACAGAGATCGGTAGCAGCTCCTAGAAATCTAAACCTGCACCCTGGTCTCATCATCAGCTTGGGTGGTGAAGGATGTGAAATACCCTGGCTGATGGTGGGGCCCATGAGAGTCCTTTGGGGAATTGCAGGCAGCTCCTAAGGGCTTTCACCTGACCCGTGGGATATTGCTCCAAGCTTCACCCTGGGCCAGACTGGATTTCAACTTAGAAGAAACATCTATTGCAATTAGTAGGGGTGGGAGGAGCCTTGAGGTCAGGCCCCTTAAGAACCAGTAGTTTGTGTTGATTTTACCATTTATCACATAGCATTTTGTGAGCAGTAAAGGCAGAGTGCCAGAAGCACAGCTGCCCAACGGGAAGCCATGCACAGCTTTCAACAGGCTGCAGGACAAGAAGCAAGCAGAGATGGTTTTGGCAGACCTTGTGTGCATTATGTGCTTTTAATGCTCCTGACATGGTGACCTGCGTGGTCCCATGTGTGTGTCTGAAGCCTGAAAGGCTGAGTTGAAAGCTTGAAAGCTGCCTGCAGCCCAGAGCTGTGGTTCTCAAGGGAATGAGGATTCCCAGGCTGTAGTTTGGATCTGTGAGCCGTTTGCTTTTGCGTCTCCTTTGTGCTCCATGTACAGCACAAGCTGAGAGCTGGTGTGCACCATCCTGCCCAGTTTGCCCTGGACATGGGTCCCTGGGAGCAGTGTGGCTGTGGCCAGCAGGCTCTGGCCAGCCTGGAAGTGGAGCAGTCAAGCATCTCCCCTCCTCAGACACCCCTGAAGGGCTGTGGTGTGTTGATTCCTGCAGGACAGACACCAAGCCACCAGTGGCTGTGGTAGAGCCAAGGCAGTGGTCTCCAACCAGCTCAGAGAGCTGGCAGAGATGTGTTGAGGTGTTGCTCTGGTCTTTGCTGACTTCTCTTGGTTGTTTACCCAGTTCCCAGTGCAGCCCCTCAGCTGTCCCTGTCGAGCATGACTCCTGGTGACATCCGTGTGACGTGGCTGCCCCCTCCTCCTGAGCTGAGTAACGGCAAGATAACCAAGTACAAGATCGACTACTGCACCCTCAAGGAAGGTGAGGGAAACACCATTTGGGGGTTGTGTTGTCTACTCCAGTGGTATAAAACAGCCTGTGATGTGAAGGGGAGGTGGTGCAAAGCTGAAAACAGGGACACATTTTACCCAAGGGAGGAGAACCCTTTCATAGCCTGGCTCTGTCTGGTGGTAATGGCAGTGGTACTTCACACCACCTCAAGGTGCCTTTTCCTGTGGTTGTGGAGGAGCCATGTCGCCAGGAGAATGGCCTGACCCATGTTTGTGCTGTCCCAGAAATATCTGCATGAGCAGCCCTTCACTGCCATCTGCACTGTGTTTTGGAGAAAGAGCTTTATGCTGCTCGGGGAAGAGGAGTAAATGCTTTCAACTTCCTTAAAATGGAGTCTAATCAAAGTGATCCTTGTGAAAAAAACCCAAAATACTCTGTCCAGCTTGTGTTGCTCTATTACCGAGTTTTCTCTGATTTTATTTACATTGTCAGGCATGCTAAGCAGGGTTCAGCAGGGATGGTAACATTTACATCTGCTGGATGTGGCTGTTCCAATTCCACGTGTGCTTGCTTTGCAAATCCTTCTGGGTATTTGCTCTTAAAACTGTCAAAGCTCTGCAGCTTCTCACTTCCCAGGGTTATGATTCTTCCTGAGAGAAGGATGGCGAGTGTGATGAGGTGCTGGACATGTTCCCATGTATTTGAACTGGCTTAGTAGTCTGTGCTGTGACTCCTGGCTCTGGTTCTTTTGCCTTGAGCCTGCACACGGCTCAGTGGCATCGTAAAACCTTGGAAACACTTGCAATCCCGGGATCACACTCAGCAATACACTGTTACATAGCAGGGACAGTGCTCCTGGCTGAGTTAAGGCCAAGGGAAGTTGAAATGAAGACCTGTGTGTACTCTAAACAGGCCACATGAATCTTCAGCAAAACCAGTTAGCTGATACAGTGAAAATCCCAGGCTATTCTCAGTTTAAATTTCCTGTTACCTCCCTCATGAACTTGGGTGGGCTGAAGAGGGAGCAGTAAAACCTCTGTCTGGTGTGGATGAGGGTGTGAATTTTGCAGAAAGCAGGGCTGCTGGACAGTTCTGGTTCACATTAAGGTGAGGGTTTAAATACAGCAGTGAGAAGCATTGGAACATGCCATCATCTCCCATTAGCTGTGCTCATGATCCACCATCACATCATCAGAGCATGGTTTCTGACAGCTCCCTCTGGGCAGGCTCTGGTGCTAAAGGCAACCTGCAATTTGGAATGTAATGAAGGGAGTTGTCAGTCAGAATATCTGCCCAGCCCTACAGTTTTTTTTCTGATGGCATAAGACTGCTCTGGGCAAAGCCAAGCCAGCCCAGGGCGTGCACGCCACGAGGAGGTAATGAGGCTTGTGGCTGCTCAGCTGTACTTCCCTTTGGCTGGGAAATCCCTGTTTTGAGTGGTGTCCCCTTGGTTCCAGCAGATCAGGTCACCTCCATTGAAGTGGGTGGAAATGAGACCCAGATCACCCTGTACTCACTCCATCCCAACAAAGTGTACAAAGTTCGGATCGCAGCCAGCACCAGTGTGGGATATGGGGCCCCTTCCGAGTGGACCCAGCATCGGACTCCTGACAGAGACAACCAGACACATGGTAGGAGGCTGGGGAATGCCTGGGATTTGGGACAGGGTGGGAAACTTAAGGCATTTTCAGAGATACTTGCTTTCCTTTGGGAATTACAGCTACTGGTTTTGGTCAGACCAAAGTGCTCACCTTTACCTTGGTGCTCAGCAGCTCCTGTACATCTCACTGTTTGCCTGGCTGTGGGGCTTTGTACCCTCTACGTGCAGCTGTGAAAGTTCTTTAAAAAAAAACAAGACAAGAAAACAAGCAGAACTCCAGATCCCAATGTTAACGACTTTTGGAAGTGAATAGACAATTCTGCCAAACAGAGCCAAGCCCATACCAGGCTCCAGCAGTGGTTAAAAGTGGTGAATATCTCAGAACACACTGAGAAACCCCCACAGTGTCTTTGTGGCATCGTTGTTTCCTGTATCACCCAGCTGGGAAAATCAGTGGTAGAGTGTGACTGACTCTTCACTGTCAAGGAGTAGAGACTTCCCACTCAGGACAGCCTTTTCCTGGCATTCTTTCCTCACTACTGAGGCCCAGGAGGATTCAGTAGACCAGGTAAATTGAAACATGTGGCTCAGTCTTTTTCTCTTGTCTTTTTCTTCCAGTTCCGTTTGCCCCGACAGAATTAAAAGTCCGAGCGAAGATGGAGTCTCTCCTAATAACATGGCAGCCCCCAGCAAACCATGCCCAGATATCTGGCTACAAGCTCTACTACAGAGAGGTGGGCCCAGAGGAGTCCAGTGATGAGAGCCCTTTGGATGGTGCTGAAGATGAGAGCTGGGACGTAGGACCCATAAAACTAAAGAAGAAAGTGAAGCAGTACGAGCTGACTCGACTAGGTTAGCTGGCTGCATCTTCCTAGCACTTAATGTGGAAACTCAGGACCTGTCTCTTGCACTTTGTAGCATCCCAGGATGCTCCCAAGAGTTTTTGCATGACTGGAGATACATAGGGCCAGGACCATCTGAGGTGTTTTAAGATCATCCAAAATCCTTTCTGGAGTGGGGATCTTTAGGCTTGTATTGAGCAGAGTTTAAAGCACAGAAATTTCTAATGCAAATTTAGCAGGGATTTTAACCAAGTTACCAATATATTTAGTATATGCTAATAAGTGGTTCTTAATTAGTGTTTTTATTGTGTCACTTTAAAGAGTGCCAAGATTGAAATCTCCAGTCAGGACAATTATCTCTCCTTCCCTGTCTGTTTCTAAGGAGCTCTATAATTGCATGCTGTTTGAAATCTCTCTGTATTAAAACACAGAGCTGGGATAATTCACAGCATACTAATTTTAGCCCAGTATTCTGTCCCACTAAAGGAAAAGGGATGGAAGAGTGAGTGTCCATGACTGGAGAAAATCTGAGCAGCAGTGAGTCCTGCCTGCCTGGCTCACTGTGCTTGGCATTAAGGGGTTATGTTCCTAACATCTGATTGTATTAATTAATTGATTTGCCCATTGATACAGGATGGAGAGAGAAGAGAGTCATGGCAGATGCATCCTTGAAAGAGGCTTTCTGCTTCCTAGAGTTCTTCCATTCCCCACTTTATGCTTCACCCTGTTACTGCCCAGTGAGTGGAGACTGTAGGGCACATGTCTGTCGTGCTGGTTCATCTTACACTTGTAGCATATATATTATGCACAGTGTAAAGGTCAGGCTTCAGCACCTGGAAGGACTGTTTGTGCCATCTCTAAGTGGGGTTCTCCCAGCTCTGTCACAGCCATCTTGCCATTGAGAGTGTTAACAGAGACAAGTTTCTCTGAAGAATTTAGGACTGTAATTATTGCGCAGGGGAAACCACATGTGAACATCATCACGTGTTGCTCCAACCACTGGCAAGTCAGTCGGTGCAAGGGCTGGGAGTGGGCTGAATTGGTTCCAAATGCTCTGGCACGATGATGCTGAGAAGGTTGCTTGTTCTTCTGTAATTACTTCCTTGAATTTGGGCATCCGTCAAGCCCTGATGGTTTCCGTATGATTCGGCGGCTGCGTATCGGCTATCGCTGCGTCAGGCGCCCAGGCTCAGGTTTCTCCTGGTCCAGGATGTTCCCTCTGCTCCCCTTGTGCTCTTGAATGATGTGCTCCTGCACACATACGGTAAAGGAAGGGTCAGGAATCTGGCTGTGCTGAGGAAGGGAGGGCTCTGCACATGAAACAGGGAGGAGTGGTTGGGATTTAGAAGGGTTTCGTTTTACGGCACAGAACTGCCCTGCACCAGTACTTAGGGCTGCAGCTTGTAGGCAGAGTGGGCAGTGGTCTCAGGAAGGGCTGGCAGCCCTAATCCGGGCTGATGGGCAATTAGCTGGGAGGATTTCCCAGACCAGGGATGTCTGCTTGGAAAGCACAGCACTGGAAACCTCTCCTAAGATCCCTCTATAAAAGCAAATACCCCACAGTGTCTCTTGGGATTATCTTCAAGAGTCATTAAGTCCAGCTGCCTGGGTACCTCAGTGTTGACCAAAAATGAAAGCGAATTCTGTCCAAATGTCTTTTAGACACTGACAGGCTTGGGGCACTGACCATCTCTCTAGGAAGCCTGTTCTGGTGTTTGAAGTGGTGTTAGGAAATCCCAGGTTGGGCACTGGGCATACCAGGCTGAGCTCAGATGTGGTGTGTTCCTTGTCAGTGCAGACAAGGTCCAGAGTGGTCACTACATGTCCCTTGGCTCCACAGCTCCGTAGTGTCACTGAAGCTAGTGCTCTGCCCCTTGCCTTGGTTTGAGATGTGGCTTGAAATAGAAGACTTCTCCCATCTCATGCTGATCCCTGGAGCAAACCATATCTCCTTAGAGTGGTGTCACTAGTGGTACCATGTGTCTTATCTGAGACGTGTGTGCTGAAGTCCTGTGAGAGAGGTGGGCAGCTGGTCAAGGGCACACAGGAAATCCAGCAATTTCATCAGTCCACGAAATCAGAAGGAAGCTTTCCTGAATCACCAGGAGGGGTTTTCCCTGAGAAATTCTTAGTGACTTCCATTGATGTTCTAGCACTTACTCCCTGTACTGAGATGCAACTACCAGGGCCATAATTTATGTGAAAAATAAATGTCAGGGATCTGATCCTGTGTTCCACATTCCCATGAAGGAAGATTGCATTCCTTTGGAAGTAGCTCTCTGGAAATCAGGGTGTTTTCCCACTTAAAGGAAAGTATGGCTGCTGGCACCAGGCCAATATGAACACCTTGAAATGCTGAGTGAAGCAACATATTTAGCATATTGGATATATTATGCAGCTATCCAGATTAGTGATTTAAAATGATCTGGACTAGATTATTCTGCTTATATTTAATGTATGATGGAATGCAGTGAAATACATCTGTTTTCATGCTGCCTACCAGCTTCTTGACAGCTTGATAGAGTTTTATGTCTGCCTGTTCTAAGAGCTTGAACATCTGGGCCTGTATATAAAAATTGAAGCCAATCCTCTGACTGAGAAATCCAAAATACCCCTATTTTCAGCATGTAAGGTGCTTGATCATGCAGTCGAGCTCCCCTGGCGTCACGTGCAAGCAGCTGCTGTATTGATCCTGCCCAGGGATGGAGACAGAGGACTTGTCCTTTCCTTCACTCCATTCTCCAACAGGAGCTGCTCACAGCTGTCTCACATCTGTGAGCTTTTCCTCATCGTTTTGGATTGCACCATCCATGATGTGCTTGTGTCCCAGTGAAGCCCAGCCCAAGGCTCAGCCAGAAGGAGAGTGTGGTGCTGGCAAGAGATGGGCTGGGTGTTCTTTGTTCCACTGAGCCCGTGGTCCCAGCCCTTTGGAGGTTGAGTGCCCTTTGGCCTTATCCCCCTTGTGTGGGTTTGAAACATTTTTCTGTGGCTGGAGAGTGTGGAAATGCAGATCAGACTGTCTTGGAGGCAGACAAAACTCTGTTTGCTTTTGGGATTCTTTGGGGAGAAAAATGTGGCTGAACTGTTTTTATATTCTGAGCGTGAGCGTGTGTTGTGGAGCAGAAAAAGCCTTTGGTAATTGGTACCATCAGCCTTTAGGAGTGTAATCAGGGCAGTAATAATAAAATTGGCATCAATAAGAAAGGTTTCATTCTGCTTACGTTGTCTGGCAAAGAGAGCAGTGATCTGTGAGGGCAGGGAATGAAGAGGCATGTCCCAAATTAACAAACTTCATCAATGTGCTGCAGCCAAAGCAACAAAAGGCAGTGTGGACTGCTCTGGCTGAGCTCCTGAAGGGGCTGGCTGCTGCAGGGAATGTCTTCTTTGAGAACTTTTTATCTCCCAAGTTGTTTCTTTGATTAAACATCTCCATTAAAAATGAAGAAGCTGATGAAACGCTGGACGAGAGGGAAGTGTTTTTTGGACCAGGGCAGTGCTGCTTGGAGACAGAACGCCCTGTCCTGCAGCTCAGTTTGAGATTCCCCACAGTGCAAGGCTCTCTGATGGGAAGAGCATGCAATGAGGACCCTCAGGTTTTTGGTGTGGGTTTTCTGTGCATTGTTGCTTTTCTAATTGCAAATTGGGAAGCTCTACTGTGAAGGCAAAATAGACACCATACAACAAAGGCTGCCAGTGACTTAACAGGGCATTTGAGGACTTGCTGGAAGGAACGTCCTCACAGCAGTGAATAAACCAAAAAGGACTTCAGAAACAGGAGGTGCATTTTGGGGGAGGAGAGAATGTCCTCACTCCTCAGGAATAAACAGTGCAGTGCAGTCACTTCCATGGTAGAGTCAGCATGTGTAGGTTTCTTTAGTAGTTTGTAAGAGAGGAAGATCTAGAGATCCTGAGTAGACTGCTAGAGGCCAGGATACTGGTCAGCCCTTGAGGGCTGGGGCAAGTCCATTTCCTGCTGATAATTTCTGTCAAAAGCAAGGGGAGAACCAAAGAGCAGCTGTGCTGATAACATACACCAGCTGTGAGACAGTGTTTGTGTGTGGGAAGCCTGTAAGTGGGAGGGGGACTCCCTGCTGTAATTTAGGTATTAGGTGATATTTACTTAGGTATAAGATAACAAAAATGTATTTATTATATTCAACTTACTTTCTTGGCTGGTGAGAAAAGCTGGCAGGATCAAAGAAAATGTGTCTGACAAGGGAGAGTTGGTGACAAAAATAACCCAAAGCAAACCCTGATTGATTTTTCCAGCTCCTGGGAAACTGTACGAGGTGAAGCTGGTGGCATTCAATAAACATGAAGATGGGTACGCAGCAGTCTGGAAGGGCAAAACAGAAAAGGCACCTGCGACAGCAGTAGGTGAGAAATGCCCTTCAGTTGTTGTGTCTCTTCTGCTTGGTGGAGGGATTACAGAGGATGAACTTCAAAAAGGACAATACCAAAATAGGAAAGGTCATAACATAAGGGAACATCCTTTGACAGTCATTGCAAAATGCACTGAAAGAATTGGGAAGGAGAGAAAGGAGAAAAACATCCCCCTTCTCACTAGGGTTGTTCTTCCGCTGGGTGTGAGTGGCATTACTGTCATGTTCATCTCCACATCTCTCTTTGTGCTGCACCATAGATCCCCCTGTGCAGAAGGGGCCTCCACTGCCTCCAGTCCAAGTCTATGCAGAGTCCAACAGCTCAACTTCCATCTGGCTCCGCTGGAAGAAACCTGACTTCACAACCGTCAAAATTGTCAACTACACCGTGCGCTTCAGCCCCTGGGGCCTGAAAAACGCCTCTCTTGTGACATACTACACCAGGTAAAGAGGGCTCGTCTGCCATGTGTTGTTCGTGTCAGGAATGAACACAGGGCAGGAGGAAGTTGCATGGAATTTACAGAACTTAGCAAAATTCTGGGTGTTCCATATGCTGGGAATATCTGCCATGGTCACAGATAATGTTCAGGACTGCTGAGATGTGGCAGTGGGACTTGTCTTGACTTGAATACCAAGGAGTCATTTACTGGTCTCTTCATCTTTTTTGCTGTGGTTGAACCTTACACACTTATTAACAACATGGCTGGGTGCAATTACGCATTCATGATTTGTGAGATGGTCCTCACAAATTTGGTCTATAAATTGCTAGAGTTTAAGCACTTTTAATAATTTGGGGATGTATCTTACATCTGAATACTTGTGCCCATTTTTAGCCTCTAACCAAGCTGTTTTCCACTTTACCCTGCAAATACATCAGAAATGGTCCTGGAGACTGGGAACTGTTTTGCTCTGTCCGTGGGAGCTGAGTGTTCTTGCATTCAAATGGCTGCAAGAGATGGAAAATCAAGTACTGTCAGAGTTAGGATAATCTCTTAGAGTGTTCCTGCTGGGGTGTCAAGGTGACATGGGAGAACCCTCAGGTGTTCACGGCCTTGTGCTGTGTCCTCTCTCTCCAGCTCGGATGAAGACATCCTCATTAGTGGGCTGAAGCCCTACACCAGGTATGAGTTTGCTGTGCAGTCCAACGGCGTTGGCATCGATGGGCCCTTCGGCAGCGTGGTGGAGCGCTTCACCCTGCCCGACCGTGAGTGTTCATGGGAACCAAATCCTCACTTCTCCTGGCTGTCCTTGAGTCTCCATCACACCCCTCCCAATGTGCCCCTAAGAGATGTGATCTCAGACCCCCTCGAAGCTCTGATGACCTTGAGTCCATGCTGGGAGGCTCTCTGGGGATGAATGCTCCTCTTCCTGCTGCTCAGGCTGGCTCTTCATTTGTCTCTGCCAGGGCCCTCCACTCCTCCGTCTGACCTGCGGCTGCACCCTCTCAACCCCTACGCTGTCCAGGTGCACTGGTGCCCACCTGTGGAGCCCAATGGCATCATTGTGGAGTATCTCATCCTGTACAATGCCAACAACACACAGCCAGATGACATGTGGACCTTGCTGACACGAGAAGGTGAGCCTCCTCCAGGTACTGTAATACTCCTCAGTCCTCCGGCCTCCTTTCCTCTCTCTGGAGCCCTGGTTGCTCAGTCCTGCTGCCATGATTTCTGCCTCACTTTGTATACAGACAAATATTCAAGAGCTCATCCTGGCACTTTTCTTGAAGCATATGCTGTACCTGGTCATAGCAGAGAGTCCAGGGACATGGCTACTGAGAGACATGAAATTACATGTGTCTGGGGCTGAAATAGTCATTATCATTCAGGAAATAACCTACAGATGCAGCCTGGCAGCCAGCAATTCCTAGAAAAATGTGTGCCAGCAGCATCACGAGTAGCCTGTATTTTCGGATCTGTAAGCAGGAAGTTCATTATTACTGAAAAGGTGTATGAAATGCACAAAAATGTCACAAAATCCCTCACTTCTGAGGGTCCAGTAATTCCACAGCTGCTTTTCTGTAGCCTCTGAATATTCCTGAAACAGAACATTTTAAATCTCTTTTGATTTGCTTTTGGTCAGGAAACATCTTCAGCACTGAAGTGCATGGCCTGGAAAGTGATACCAGATACTTCTTCAAGATGGGAGCAAAGACAGTGGTGGGATCCGGTCCCTATTCCAACGTTAAGGATGTGCACACCCTCCGGGAGAAGCTGTCTGGTATGAATTCCTCCCTACCCCAGGGCAGGAAGGGAATTGCATGGCTGGAGACTGATTTGTCAGCAGTGACATTTCTGTTTACCAAGCAATTGCCTGGTGTCGCTGTGTAGGATGCAAGACAGGATTCTCTGCAGGGCAGAGCCCTCAGATGTGCAGCTCCAGAACCCATCCCACAGCCAAACTTCATCTCTTTCCCATCCTGGTTCCTCTGGAAGGGAATGTACAACCTGCTTCTTGCTGTAGCATGACATTAATGAATATGCATAGATGCCAGTTTGTTTTAAGTTGATCTAAATTGTTACTGCCTAGGAATTTTATTATTTGATGTGTATAGAATCAGAACCACAGAACAGCTGGGTTAGAAAGACCTTTTAAACCTGTTTGGTTTAGTACTGCTGGTGCTTCTCTGAACATGAGAAGAGCACCTCTTCCTGCTAGCAGTTGAAATGATGTGGCTGTCATTCCTTCCCCTCCTAGATGTCCTGGATATCCACTCTGTGACAGGGATCATCGTGGGGGTGTGCCTGGGGCTGCTCTGCATTCTCTTCTGCATGTGTGCCAGCTTCCGCAACAGCAAGCACAGGTGGGTGGCACCTCAGGTAAAGGAGGCTGCTGTGGAAGGAGACAGAACCAGTGTGAGCTGCATCCCCTCTTCAGCTTGGCTGCTGTGTAGGGGACAGTTAATGCATAGCTCGGATTTGTGGATGGATAAGGAATATATTTAGTGTAATCTTTTCACTGATTTATTTTTTTCAGTAGTTCTCTTCAGTTTGCATTCTTAGACTAGTAGAAGTTTTTGCAGAGGAAGAAAAAGCCCTGAAAAAAGGAAGAATCAGTTTATTACCTGTGTCTGTTAATGTGGGTAGTATTTTACTTCTGAGGTTGGACAGCTCTAAGGATGTTTGGAAATGGTTTTTTAACTTCCATCTGGGAAAATAATGAAAGACTTCACAGTGAGTGACAGGCTGGTTTAAAGAGGAGTGGATACAGCCCAAAGCCCTCTGCTATCCCAGGGGTCTGGATCCAGCCACAGGCATTTGGAAAGACCATGAGCAGAAAACAGGTCAGTTGTTCAGAAGAGCTTTGAGCTCACAGCAGATCTCAGGGCTAGGAACAAACAGCTTCTACCTAATGTGGCCACTAAACTTTCCTGTCCTGTTGCATCTCTAACCTGTAAAGCAGAGGTGACAGGAGTGACACAGCTCCCCATGGACCAGTGTGGGTGAGCACCTGCTTGTGCTGGGACTCTTAGTGTCTCCTACCCTTGGGGTTTGCTGGCAGAGGGACAGCTTTGCATCCCACAGTGGGATTTGTCTGAGCTTTGGCATTAACCAAGGTGGTGCAGAGATGTATCTGCAGTGAAAGGTGTTACAGTGGGATGCGATGATAAAGGATATCCCCAGGAGTGGCAGGGCATGGCTTGGGTTTTGTCACTTACACAAGGACCAGCTGAGATGTCAACTCTTGCTTGTTTTCCCTCAGGGAGGCCCTGCCAGGCCTGGATTCCCAGGCTGCTGGCAACCACACGTACTACCACCGGAGCAGGCAAGGGTTGGCCTCTCCCAGTGCCACCCTGGACTCACATGAGCTTGAGTCCCTCATGTCCCCGCTCCCAGAGGATGCACCTGTGCCCCTGGGGGACATCACTGAGCTGGCAGAAGTGCACAGCCTCATCCACACCAGCCTTCCTGAGGACATTTTCCACGGGAAGAGGAAGGTAAGGACCCATGCACATGGTGACTGGGCTCCCACCTTTGGCAAGAGCCTTTGTTTGGTGTGTGGCTGCTGGGAAGCCAGGGTGGGATCCTGTCCTGGCTCTGCAGTGCCAGAAGTTGTGGCTGCAGGCTGGTGTTGGGCAGTCACACATTTCCCCTCTCTGTAAAACTTGACTAGCTCAGCCTTGGCTGTTGGATATAATTTGGGATCCCTGTGCATCTACCATCCCTTTTCATCTCCTGGGACAGTGACCCCTCAATCTGAGAAGCTGCTGCCAAACTTGGTGCTGCAGAAAGCTGTGGTATTTGTGTTGCTGTGGCATGTGGATGGTGGGAGGAAGCGTGATGTCTAAAGCAGACACGTGGCCTTCCAGGATTCTCTTTTGCTTGGACTAAAAGGAGCTGTCTCCACAAATAGTGTGGAGACTATTCAATACTCTTGAAGACAAATGAGAAGTGAAATTGCAGGGTTTTGTGAACCTTATTTTTTAAAGTAGCCTTTTCCTGCCCTGCTTGGTTTGCCTGACACTGCATTGTCTTTCATTCCTCCCTGCCCATTTCCTCTTCCAAGCTTGCCTGAAACATTTCATTCCATTAGGGAACCTTTAATTGGCCTAATTTAGTTAATCTGTTTATGTCTCTCTTTGTAGCCCTGGGAGAGCATGTAAAATAATTAGGAGGTTCAGTAAAACAAATGCATTGTGAGCACACGGGATTTCACGTTTGCCTCAGCGAGGCACTCGTGTGTCACTGGAGGGAAGGTGAGCTCAGGTACCTGGCTGACCACGAGCCCTGTCCGTGCTGCTGGAGGCAGTGCAGGTGTGATCTTTGGGAAACACAAAGTCTCTGCTGGCTTCACTAGCCCCACGAGCTGAAGCCGTGCCCGTGGCCATCCCTGCGTGCTGTGGCAGATCAGCGCTCAGCTGGAGGGAGAGGCTGTTTGTCTGCAGCCAAGCCACATCTATGGATTTTGGTGGAATGTGGCTGCCTGTCTGGACCCAAGCCGAAGAGTGTGAGGAATTTCCTACAGCTCTTTCAGTTAAATAAGGAACAAATGTTTTCAGTGATGGGGACTTACCCCTGAGAACAGGTCAGGATGGGGGGAAGTTCCTTCTTTGTGAGGCCTTTTTGGGGGCAGCATATCCAGATCTGTCTTCCAGAGCAGCAATCCTGCCTGCAAGGGCTTACACCAAGATCTGAATATGTGCAGAGTGGGGCTGGAGAGGGCAGTGCCAAGGCCACATGAGGCTCAACTTGAGAGCTTGGGACCCTCAGAGTGGGCAGTGCCCAGCAGCAGAGTTACAGTCACAGACCAGAGCTTTGGGGGAGAGGGACTGTAGAGTTTGTATAATTGGATGGGGAATGGCCACTGAGAGATAAATTCACTGAGGGGTTTTTTTTGTTTTTTTTTTTTTGATGGATGTGGCTGGGGGAGCAAGGGTCACTGGGAAGCAGCCACCCGGAGAGCAGCGTTGTCACCCGTGCCGACCAGGAGGGTGACCTGGCAGGTGAAGGAGATGGAGCGGTGGCCGGGAGCAACAGGCTGTTGTTGCTGGGAGCGGGCACTGGAGGGAGATGTGCTCCCACGCTGGAGACCCTGCTCCCTGCACTGCCCCGTTCCTGCTGGAAGTGCCACCTGAGCACCATTGCTTCCTTTCTGTACTGCGACGTGTATAATCGAGTGTGAAAAGAATATGAACAAGAAACATCTTTATGCTGCAGTGGCCAAGAGGCCCCATGGATGATGATGAGATGTCACCGGGCTGGGCAGTCAGGGAGTTGGGCAGGTCTCAGGTACATGGCTGGAGTGGTGCACACATGCCTGGTGCCCACAGTGGATGTAAACCAAGTCAGGAGCAGTTGTGAGTGTGTGCATCTCCCTGCTTGTACACAAAATGCCTCTAGTCGAGGCTGTGGAGTGGGTGTGGGTGTCCTGTGTGCTGCAAATAGCTTCCCCCAGCATCCATTAAAGCTGGAAACCCCCAGGGACCCTGCCTGGAACAGAGTGTTGTGGGAGCTTTGCACCCTGCAGTGACCAGCTGCCTTTGTTGCCTTCTGTTTTCTTCTGTCATGCTGTGTGAAGTTGGGGCTGTGAAAATCCATGGCAAGGAATGCAAGAGAACCACAGGAAAGAGAAAATCATTGTGGAAGGAAATTCCTGTCCAGCCTGGCAAGGGGAATCTCCCCAGGGTGTTCTAGGTTGGATAGTATAACTTGAAGTCCTATTCACTGAAGAGAGGGAGTGAGAAATGCCTCAAGGATCCCTTTTGTTTAGCAGCATATCATGTCACCACAGAGCTGGGGATGTTGGCTGGGGCAGAACCTTGGGCTGAGGCTGCTGGCACTGCAGGGCAGATTTGTGTAGCTGTGACCTCCAGTTGCCTGCTTGTCCCTCTGTCCTCAGGTTATGCTCCTGAAACCTGGTTTGTGTTGGCTGGTTGGCACTTGCATTGGCTGCTCTGTGCCTGCAGGCTGTTCCCATGCTGAGTCATTACTTACAATTCCATGGATTATTCTTTATTGTTTTTATTCCTGTGGCAGCCTGAGGTTCCAGTGGAGATTGGATGCTCCATGTTAGATAGACACAAAGAAGGGACTGTCCCTGTGCCATATGGAGTCAGAAGTGAGTGAGTGTCATTTTACAGGTGTGGGGATTGGGAACAGACTGAGGGCAGGAAGTCCTTAAAAATTCTGACATTGGAACTGATTCCTGCAAAAAATTGTGGGTAAGGGTGGTGAGTTAGCCCCTTGGTCATCTTCAGGTCAAGATCATCAGTTCCTTCAAATGTAGGACTGTGATTCTTCCTGAGCTGTTACACATAGTGCTGGAGGTGCAGGATGGTACAAGTGGAAGGTGGGAGAGTCCCAGAGGAACCTCCTGGACCCCCTGTCCCTGCCTGCAGGACAGCAAGGTGCTGCTGCAGTCAAGGTGTCGCACGGGACCCCTCTGGATGCTCACAGCTCCACTAGGCAGGAGTACAGTTGGCCATTCAGTGGTTCATTTTCCTTCCTTTATGTGTTTCCAGTGGTCACACACAAGGATTTCTAAATACACTGACAAGTGATTTTCCTCTCTTACTCTCTTCCCCTTGCAAGCACCCCCCAGACTGATGCCCTCAGTAGCCCTGTTATAAATGACACAGTCGTGCACGGGCTGTGGTGATTCAGCTCTGTCTCCTCTGACAGATGGACTGAGGATGATAAAATGGCTCTGCTCCAGACATCTCTGTCGCTGCTGCTTGTGGGCCAAGCAATTTAAAGGGTGGGGGAGAATGTTAAAAAGCATCTGCTTTCCATGGAAGACTTCAGCTTTTCATTGAATGAAGCCAAACCCAAGCATTTTGGTTTGGAAATGTTTGCTGTTGTTGTTCTTGTGAGCTGGAGCCTTCCTTGCTTGCTGCCCTTCTCCTTCTCTGTGGGCCTCCTTCCCACAGGACTGCGTTTCCCACGAAGCATCCCCATGACTCGGAGAGCAGAAGCTGTAACACATCAGGGAACTTGGATCCACCCAGGTTGTTTGTCATTTTCATGTTGAAATTTTTCTGCGTGGAAAAGAAGTCCCAGTGTTTTCTGAGAAGCTTCAGACAAGAGCTGTGCTCCTGGTGACAGCGAGCAGAGACTCCTTTATCTGCTGGCAGAGGTCTGTGTGTGTTGCATCCCAGATGCAGGCAGGGATGTCACTGTGTTTGCGTGACACGGAGCTTTCCCACTCCTACCCGCTGCTGTTCAGCAACGAATCCTTTCTCTCCACTGCACCACTCTCAAAAGCTGGGCAGTTGAAACATCCCCAGCCTTGTTTTGCACAGGGCTTCAAGCTACTTTAAATAACCATCCTAAAAAAACAGAGAAGGTTTCAAGTTGAACTTTTGCTATGTGTTCATTCTCAGCTCATATATTTGCATGAAATCATGACTTGTCACTGAGAAGGTAACACGATCTAGGCACATTTTTACCAGTTGGAGTTTCTATAAAAAGGTTAAAATGAAAAGGCTTGTTTGCTTTGATAAGGATTTAGCTGTAATGGAAATGTCTTTTATTGGAAGATGTTTTTATTAGTTTTCATTCTTATGTTTGCAGTGAACTGACAAAGAGATTCTTCCCTCTTTATATTAGTATTAGACTGACACTCCTTGCTCCTTGCCTTCATTACTGTGTTGTAAAAACCAAGACAATATTTCCTTCCTTCAGCCACCCACTAGCTCCCCTTGAGTAAAAAGAAATAGTGTCATTTATTACACCAAAAAATGCTGCTTAAAAAAGCAGTGAAGCTTTCAGGCATACAGGATTTCTTCAGGACTGTGATGAAAACAGTCCTAGAGTTAATTGCTGCTGCCCAATCTTAGAGGCTAAGCCCCAAGAGGGATTTGTCTTTTGCTTTTTTTTTTCCCCCCTCTCAAACATAATGTGCTCGAACAACATGTGGGACACAGGCCATGTTGTGTGGTTGATGGTTTTTTCTGTTTGTTGAAAGTTGCAAACTGGTACAAAACAAGTTTGTTCTTCATTGCAGCCAATTTCAGCCAGAGCTGAACAGGCTGTTCCCAGAGTCATCAAAACCTATGTAAACATGGCAGATTGACATTTCCGCTAACAGATGGTCCATGGGGGATTGCAGTAGAGCTGCCTGTTTCTTTCCACGTTTTTTGGTATTCACAAGATGCCTGCAAGAAGGTTTTCGAGTTTGCTCTGTGTGTGTGTCTGCGTACGATGCTCAGATCTCTCTGATGGCAAATATGCATGCAGGCATCTCTAACAGGACACACATTTGGTGCATGTGTGCAGATTTGTGTAGGTTCAGTGCTGAAATTTCCAGGCACTATTTGCTCAGTAACGTATGTTCCTTGGAAGAGGCACAGAAGCCATCAGTCAGGGATGTAGCTGCAGAAAGCCTTTCAGATGGCAGCAGAAGCAAATTGAACACGCTCCTTGAGCACTCGCATGTGGAGATATTCCTTATTGTGAGCTCTCTGTGATCGCTTGGTTGATTTCTTGCTATTAAAGCGTAGTTTAATGATTGTCCACTTAGAAACAGAGCAATTAGGGAAGGCTTTTGGCTCAGAATATATTGTTGAGGATTGCAGAGAGAGAAATGGAAAAGACACTGCTCAAGCATCCACATCTAAATTAGCAAGCGTTTGATAGCCACAGTGCTGAGTTTGGACATCACTGGTCTGCAGGGTGTTGGCATATCAATATCGAGGCCTTTCACTATTTGTCTGCTAAAAATTTGCTCCTGAGGCAGTAGTAAAGCTCCTGTGACTTGAGGGTGGTGCTGGGATGTAACATGGCTCTGCCTCCCACAAGGTGTTGAGCCATTTGGGTGCCTGGGTGAGGGTGGACAGAGGGCTTGGGAGCAGCTCTGGCCGCCCTTCAGCGCATACACGAGTGTCCTTCCTCCAGCCCCGGCAGCACGAGGTAGCATTTGCTTCTTGCTAAATAGCTGACTTAGGAATGCCGGGCTCACATACAACATCTGGTGGTGTATTTCTACCTAATTTTCAGCCAGATGGACTGAGGCACAAGGAGGTCAAATGACTCACCCAAGGTCAGGCTGATGTCAGAAATCTCCTCGCTGTCTCAGCTGGACTCACGCTACGCTGGCGGTTGTTGGAATAGATTTGGCCTAAGGAGCAGCCACATATGCAGAGCAGGAACCTGGGCTTCTGCTGGCAGTGAGCAATAGAGGGTCAGTGGGTTTGAATAGATGTGCAGGGTATCTTCACCCTACACAGCCATCATGCTCACATCACCAGTATTCTGTGTGCATGTGTGAAGTCGCTGTTGTCAGGTCAGGATTTTCTCCTCTTCTCTGCATCAGCCTCTCTTGTACCCACACAATAATGTAGCATCTGTGGAACAAGGCCAGAGATAACGGGCCTGTGTGGTCCTTAAATCTGAGTTGTGTGTTTACGTGTATGTGTATGGTGAGTACTAGCAAGGCTTAGCTCAGGTACATGCAGGACAGCCCAATAAAATCAAAACCTGGAAAGAAAATACATTTCTGCCTGTGAACTAATAGTCTGAGCTGTTAAATAACTTCAGCTCTTAAAGACACACATTTCCCATACACAGAGGTGTGCATTCAACAGTTTATTGCAAGGGGAAGCTGAAAGAACCCAGAACAAATTGCGTTCAGCCCATATAATTTAATTAGATCTACAAACAAGGTAACACTGGTTGCCCAGGGGATTTAAAGCTGAGCAAAGAATTGCTTGGTGGTCTGTTGTAAAAAAAAAAAAAATTAAAAAAATTAGAGCCCCCAGTTTTGTGCCTCTGTGTTGATGAGGAATGGCAGAGTGTTTTCCCAAGTCCTGGCTTGGAGCAGGAGCTCTTGTCTGCGCTGCAGAGCGAGCGGTTTAGCAGAATTTCCAGCTCTTACTGGAGCACACAGGGCACTGCCCACGGGTGAGGGTCTTCTCTGTGCTGTGGAGCATCGCTTCTTCTCTGCCAAAGCAAAGACTGTGGTCACTCAGCTCCAGATTTCCCTGTCCCTTGCCAGCTCTGTGGTATTTCTCAGTAGGCTTGTTCTGCTCTGGGCTGTTGCAGCTTTGCAGGGAGTTGATTTTAGTGGACCTCTAAATGATGTCTGTGCCATGATTTACCCACTGGCCTCACAATTTGAGGATCAGTGGAAAGCCCCTTATGCAACCAGTTGTGAACCATCTGGCATCTTTTATCCCTGTGCTCTGCATCAGCCCATGTAACAGCAGTAAAGCCAGTTCTAAGGCAGGGACTGTGTGAGTCCATTGCAGAGCATTTTTATTTTGATGACATTGGAACTGCCCTCCACATTTATGGTATTTTCACAATTTGCACTTTTCAAGCTGCTTCTCATTTCACATGTATGAGGATAAGAATCCATGTCTGTGATAACTGCATCTTTTCTCCTGCCACTTTTCTCCTGCAGTCTTCATGGAATAAATCAACCAACCAGGCCTGGACAAACAGCATCACCAGATATGGGGACACCATCACCAAAGAGCCTCTCTCTGCTGTCAATGGGTCACTGAAGCTCCCCTCCAGTGCGGGGCAGAAGCTTCTCTTACAAGCCCTGGTTTATGATGCTGTGATGGTGGGTACCTTTGCTGCTTTGTTGACTTGTGTGTTCTCATGTGGGTTTTCCATTTATGTTCTCCATCTCCCTTTCTGCTTTTTGCAGCCCCTTTCTGTGGGCTTGTTGGTCAGGTAATGGCCGGGTGGGGTCAGAAGCTTGGTTGTCAGCAGGGTTGTGGCAGTTCTGGTTCCTGAGGATCTGGTGCCAGGCACCAGCAGTCTGCTTGGAGTCTTTGCTGTGGCTGTGCAGCAATCAGCCTGAGTGAGTTAGGAGCTGCAGTGCTCAGCACAGTCATTAAGATCTACAGCATGCTTGCCTGACAGAGGGATTGTATTTTTGGCTGTAAAAGGAGTCAAAGATCAAGGGTTGATTTAAACTCCCTTCTCCAGATAGGGCAGACCAATTTTCACTGCACTTGTGTTCTGGGAGGAAATCCTATTTCTGATATTGCATCACTGGAATAAATATGGACTCCTGTGTTTGGGAGAGTGTACATCTGTGTAACTGTCTTAGCAAAGCAAACTGACACCTGCTCAGACTGACTCAGTACCAGAAGATTGCTGTGGTTATTCTTTGAAAAAGTTCATTCCCCCTCTCCAGCAAATACTTCTAAGTAACCTACCTATGTTTCCTTCCTAGGCAGTGGTGTGAAAATCAATTATACACAGGATGTAATTAACATTGTGGGTAGAGTTAAGACAATGTTTTACAGCCCAATTACAGGGCAGCATTTACAGCACAGCTTACCCATCAGAGTTTGTCAACAAAAGAGAAAAGTGTTAAAATATGTAAATGATGCTCAAAGTTGGCTTCAACAGAAAGCGCAAATTACACGTGGGATATCACTTCCATACCCTGAATTGTCTTCTTGCTGCTACATCACACTCAGCCCAGAATCTGAGCGTTGATTGCCTAGAGAGCTCTTTGTGAGCTTCTACAATAATCTGTCTGGTAAATTATTGAGTGATAATCTTGCAAAATGACCTGCTTGTCAGCCAGATTTGTGGAGATCTCTAGCCTGAACTCCACTTAAACATTGCAGAGCACAACTTATTGTTTTCTTTCTGAATTTAAAATGCTTGAATTTACAGACTTTTGCAGGCTGTGACCAGGGCTTTAACAAACACACACTTTGTGATATGTAGCCAAAATTAAATGAGGAAAGTGAAGGGAGCCCCTTTATCCATCTCAGAAGCCAGTTTCCTACAGTGCTGCCCACTCAGCCTTTAACAATCTGGCCCTTAATATGGAAACAGACTGGTGAGATTTGAAAATTGTGGTATTTGACAGAGGCTTGGAGGAATGGTTGCTCCAGCCTGCCAAGAAACTGTGAGCAAATCACTTTGCTCCCTTGGGACTTGCTTTCTCAAACGTAAAATAGAAATAATGATCCTGAGGTGATTTGAGTTGCTTCTTAAGACCTAAGCCCTGAGAAACATATCAAGATAATGCTTAATAGAGGCATATGTACATCCCATTGCACTCAGTGGGATTAAAAATAAATGAATTTTAGTGCTTGGTTTGGTCACAGACTCAATTATCTGAATTTCACTTACTTTGCCTTTTTTTTTTTTAATTTCTCTCCTGTTTGATAACAGAATGAAGCAAAGAAAAGCCACCTGCCAGCCAGCCTCCACCAAGTAGAAGCAGAGGTCATCGTCCATTCTGATTTTTCAGCCTCTGACAGAGAGTACAACTCCCAGCTGCACACCCTGGAGAGTGAAGAGACAGAGGACCAGGAGCCAGAAGAGCTCCCCTCAGCAGAGCTGGCTCTTCCCAGTTCCCAGCAGGACACTGGCCAAGTGTTGGTGGACTGCATGGACAATTTGGAGGCTCAGGCCCAGGCTGAGTTGCTTTGTACTGACACAAAGACTGACAAACCTGAGGCTGTTTGCATCCATGGGCTCACCAATGGCTTCCACAGGCATGGAGAAAGTCTGGATTCGGAGGAGAGTGGAGATTCAGACTCCACCCAGGAGGGCAGGGGTGATGTGCAGCCAGTCAAGTGCCAGTTGCTTTCCCCGGCACCTGAGGAGGCCCTGCTCTGTAGTAACTCTGGTTTAACCAGTCCATCCTCAGCATCTGAGAACATGGCACATGTCCACAATCACAAAGAATGAACTGATCTGATATTGATCACAGCAGAGCTGAAGCACGAGGAGAGCCTGTCCCTAAGAGGTGCTGCCTGCCCTCGTCTGGCTGAGCCCAGCAGGAGCTGGGCAGGTGCAGCATCTCACTGGAGCATGGCTTGGACCTGCCAGCTCTACAGAGGCCTTTGGGAAGCCAGGTGGGTTGGTAAGGACCCATCTTCCTCCCGCTGAAGCCGATGAGGAACTGTGTGTTGGTGGGAGCAGCACTGAGGCATCTGCCAAAGTCTGGGTGGAACCACGATGGAACAGAGCCTTCTGCGCTAGGCTGGGGCTGCCACTTCACCACAGCCCTCAAGGCGACTGGCAGGATGTCCTTTAACGCTGGGAAGGACTTTAGCAAGTGGCAGAGTACACTGAGGGATCCTTCTCTTTCCCGGGGAGTGCCCAGGCACTGCTGCCTGCCTGGCAGCGTTGGGATGAATTCTGGCACAGGAGTCCCAGGAGCGGTGGAAGCCCCAGAAACAAAGGCAGTGAGCTGTAAGCACCGGCCTTTTCTGCCCTCCCGTGGTTGGAAGGATTACCAGACTCTCTGTGTGCGCTACCACAGTAACTACTACTAGCAGGCTGATGTAGTGGCCTTTTATTACACACTCTACGAGTGCCTCTAACAACTTGTACTATTTAGAACCTTCTGCAGCGTCTGGGTCTTTTCACCAGCCTGGGCTTTGTTTCATGTAGGTTCTTGTACCTAATATTTTAGGTACACATCTGTCCTTTTAATGTACAACATGTATTTTTATTTCCTTGGAACATCTTTTTATTATTTAATTTTATAAAGTGGAATAGTGTGTGGTATAGAGTAGCATTTTTACTACTTCTTTCTTTCTTTATTTTTTCCTCCCTAACAACACAACTACCTCATGTCTGTTGGAGAAAAAAAAAAAAAAGCAGTAGATCTACTCATTTGTTATAGTCCATTATAGGTTTTAACTTATTCTTATACTGCCTTTTTCTAAAGAATATGTTTGCACTGGTTGTTGACTCTTCTTTAACACATAGTGCTGCAGATCTGATGTCTCTCTTGCTTTGTTTCTTGACACCTTCCCTACAGCCAGAGAATTGGGTTGTGTCTTTCTGTAGGACTGTGTTTTGCAGCAGCTGCCAAAGGAGACTGCTTTAGCTGGCAGGATGTCAATCCATCTTTCCTCGACAAGCTTATACTAGCAAATAGAAAGAAGAACCAGGAATTGCAAAAGTATCTTGTGATACTAGGGGCATGTATTTCTTTTCTCTTTTTTTGGGTGCCCTTTTTTTTGGTGTGGAGACATCTCAGATGGTTTTAATTTACAGAGAGCAGCACTCAGCCTCTGTAAGCAGTGGACTTGCTGAAAGCCTTGGATGAACAAGTGAAGTTTTCCAGTCACTTCTGATAGTCCTGGCCGAAGTCCTGCTTTGGGGTGGGTTTTTTTGAAGAGCAGAGCACCACCAGAGCTTTAAAATGAAATCTTTGGTCTCCTACCAGTCAGTCTGGCTTGAAAATCATCCAGTGACTCTTCCTGCTAATGCTATTTGCTTACTGCTGACATGTCTCTCAGCCTGGCCCTGTTGGGGATGGACTTTTCTCTACTTTTTTTAGCTGGTCTCTTGTCCTTCTCCAGGTTTGCAGGGTTTGACTGTGAATGCTACAAGCTACAATGACCACCTGCTCGGAGTTAACAAGGATCAGTAATTCTGTTCATGGGTGTTTGGTGAATGTTCTACCTTCCTGGAGGATTCAGACTTCTCACCATTTGTTTAAAAAGTGAAGGAAGAGATCCACACCTTGCTTTTTTCTTACTAAAATTCTCCCCAGGGTATATGGGGAAACTGTGTGCCAACTTGAGATCCTGTAAAAGACTTTAGATTTTGTTTTTCCTGGTGACGACTGGGTGGAGGTACCACTGTTTGCAGCATGGAGAACCTCACTTCACCAGCACCCTGCAAACCTTTTACCTCCAGCTTTTCAGCAAATGAGAACCTCCAAGCCTCCGTGTACTCTGATGGGAAGGATATTGGAGCTTCCACTTCTCCCCAGTTGGCAGCATCTCCTCCCAGTGTGACACATTGTTCTGGTAACCAGCTGAATTTCCAGTCATTGTGATTGCTGTGTTTCTCCAGCTTGGTATCTTGAGGAGTCTCAGAAATGCTGTTCCATGCTGTGACTAGCCATTACTCTGGAATGCTGTGGGACAGAGAATGGAAATCAGTGCCAGTGAGCAGGCAAAGGCAGGAGTTTGTGTGTGTGCTACTGCAGTGAGGAAAAGGCAAAGAAACATAACTGGGCAGAAGAAGTGTGTAAATAACCTCCAGAACCCACTGCCACAAGACTTTGAAACTCATGATTTAGCAGGGTTACAGATAAGCAGTGAAGTGTTATTGCAGGCAATAAGGGCAATTCACAGTTCTCTGGGAGCAGATGCAGTCACAGAGGTACAAACCCTCCAGCTGGGCAAGGCTGGGCGCTCGCTGCAGAGAGCAGGGGGACGTTGTGCAGGTGGCCCTCAGGTCCCAGTTCCATGAAGAACCTGTGCCCTTCCTCAGTGACAGAACAGGCCCTGCACAAGCCACATTGCCACTTTCTATCCAGGGGGTGGAAGGGGACATAGGCTGATGTAGGAGTGTGCCACAGTTTTGGGGGCACTCCATTGTACGTGCACCCCCTGCTTTGCCTGTACAGCCTTCAGCAGTCCTGCAGCCCTGAGCTGCCTGAAAGCTGTCCCTGCCTGTCACTGCAGCCCACACAAGCAGGCACAGTGGGGCACCATTCCCCTGGATCATTTTGGGCTGACCACCAAACCACCACAATAGTTCCAGGCTCAGAGAGCTTTGGGGAGATGCAGCAGATCACAAACAATTTTGTCTATGCATCCCCAAAACACTTTTGTCCACTTATGCTGAGACTTGTTCTGATCTCGTTACACTTCCCCAAACTGTACCAGGGTGTGAAGCTGGGCAGTGTTTGGCTGTCCAAGAACTGTGGTGGCCATGGGCTGGTAGGCCAGACCTGAGTTGCAGAAATCCAGACAGTTCCCTTGGAGCCAAGGGGTCACCCCTGACCAGCAGCACCGAAGCTCTCCCTGGATGAACACACATCCACACAGAGTGTTGGGTGTCCTTGTCCAACTCAGCTGTGCCCCAGGTTCCCCTGCCCTGAACATGCAGGGATCTTTCAGTCTCAGCTGGAAGTGAATCGAAGAAGACACGTAATACACATTTGATGTGTAAAGCTGAAACAACCAGTGCATATATTTTTTTATCATGAAATAAGTAGCTTTCTTGCAGATTTCTCACAGGCACACAAACTGTTGATACCTTTAATTACCCATTATGCTTAATATCTGTTCCTGCACACCAGGCTCCTTTCTCCATTTTCTTCCTTTCAGTAACACTAAAGATTATTGCTGTTCAACTTTTTTGCTGGTGTATATTGTTTTACATTGTTAAAATGTCAGGTCTGTCTCACTGGCATAATTTTCTAGTATTAATGTTACTGTTTGGCTACACAACTGTATATTCCCCATGCTGCTGTGAGAGTCACAATTCTCATCCTTTTATTTCTTTTCTTATTACATGAAACATGCAACTCAGATAAAAACCTCTATCAGCTTGTTGTTGACTTGATTTCTTACTTAACAGGCAGCAAAGTTCTGGTTTAAATAGTTCAAATGAGATAACTTCTAATTTAGAGTTTGAGAATTTTTTTACATTACTAGCTAACAATCAGCCCATGAAATATTGCTGTGTAAGAAAACAACCATTTTACTAGAACAGTGTATATGGTTTTGATCTCATTAGTAATAGGTGTTTTAAAGGAATCATTGTGTCTTTTCTAATCAATACTTTTGTTAGAAAGGAAGCGTTTAACCAGCAGAAATCTACCATCTACTTCTGTTACTGTATTCCCTTGCTTGTATTTTCAAGTTAAATTTCATTTTCTGCACAGTGCATAAAGATGTGTAACCAGAACTTGATCTTGTTTGAAGGTTGTGTCTGTGTTTGGTTCCATACTGTACTTTATTATAACTTTCTTTCTTCAGAGACTGTTCTTACTCCACAAATACTCTTTAGTGTTAAAGTGTAAGACATTGTCCTTATATTCCTTAACTAATGGGTTATTAATAAAATGTTTTTTAAAAACAGTGGAATTTTTCTCACAATTAAGTCTGTTCCAGCTGTTTGAGGAAGCAGTGGTGGGAGCAGAATGCAGGATTCATGCTCACACCACTTCAGTACCAGAGCTCATCACCATGAAGGTTGGCATTGTGAGATGATAGTGGGTACCTGGTTCCTTAGGGATTCTTCTGGAATTTCAGACATGAGCAGAGTTTGGATTCATTAGGCATTTCTGGATGCTTGCTCCTTTCTCAGTTTTGAACTGATTCCTATAGGAAAAAATATTTGTCCAGTTTCATGCTTCATTTTGCTGGGAATTTTTTAATGGTAAAAATAAGCAGAGGCATCTAGCAATGAGTGGTGAGAGTTCTCTTGGATGGCACACTGGGCTGAGCACTGGATGGCTTGTGCCCGGCAGGATTGGTGAGAGGATACCTGCCAGTGCCCAAGGACACACTGTTAACCTCCCGTGCATCTCCCTTCTTCCTGGGACGCATTCCCTACTTCAGTACATAGTTTCCATTATTACTTTATGCTTCCACGACTACAGAGCCATAAAATCTCATTTTATCTGCATTACAGAGGTAATAAATCTGCACTTAGCACAGTGTTCTCTGACACTGGTTAAAGGGAACTCTGTCAGACTGTGTAACTCTGATGAGTCTTTCTCCTAATGATAGGTAACCCCACAAACGAGCAAGGAAGGACCTTGGAGGGAGTGATGGGTGACTGCAAATCACTCTTCCAGCTCCCACTTTGCAGCATGGGATGCTGATTGGAGGCTGCTGAGAGGAATGGATGGAATGGATGCCAGAGATGGACGGACGCGGCACTTACAGGAGAGAAGTGAAGAGCAAAGTGTCAGGTTGCGTTTCTTT